GGTATTCCTTCATGTATAATTGTATGTGATATACTACTATTTCTGAGGAAGAAAAATTAACTATGTTTATTGTCTGGCTCGGTACTTATTTTCAACATTTGTGTGCGTTTCTATAGAAGGGCCTGTCAACTCCATACCGTACAAAAAACTTTGTCGGAAACTGTTTTCTTTACAAATCTTTACTACGGCAGGAGTTTTTCTTCTTTTGTTTATGTATTGATAAGTTCATTGATCACAATAAAAAGCTGGGTAGTAATTTTGTTGTGTGGTATTCTAATTTATGCACTTTTTTGGTTAGATTAGCCTGTTTAGTATTTTTGAGCAATGTGGAAGGTTAGGATTCTAGGAAGTTGTTGCGTGTATTCAAGTATAGTGTTAATTAATTATAGATTTAATTTAATTATAGATAATTTGTCGTCTGCCTTCACTTCGTTGATGGGTCCGCGTAGTAAGTTCTTTCTCTGAAAAGCGTTAAAAATTTAGATTCCGCGTCATGCCCATGACCATCTCCTGCGCAGTCCTACGACAACGCTGTCGTCATGACGTGATTATATACTTAAAACTAAAAAATCCCCGGTGAGCTGAAACACCGACATTTGATTGTTACAATCGTTCAATTATTACCTCGCCACGGTATTGTATCATTACAACGCGTGCTTAAGGTTTTACTACGTATAATATGTCGGTGGACACGTATCTATAGGTATTATATTTTTGTAGATGTGTATCCACCGGTGGTTTACGGGTCGTAAAAATGAGAAGAAAATCGAAAGTGATATTACAGTTTGTGGCATATACATATATATGCGTACGCGTACGTCGCGGGTCGATCGAGTGTCGGAGGCGGCGGCGCGGGACCGAAGAGAGAAGTTGAACCTGTTTACGTGTACGCGCAGCACACGAAGGTGAAGGCCGCCGCAGATACGCGCTCTCTCGCATTGCTGCACAGTCCTATACCGTAGTCTACTCCGACTGCACCTTATGAGAACTATACTATTATTATTTTTACAAGAACGCGCAGCGCAGCTCAACTCGCGGACTCTCGTGATGGCTGGTTGGTGTATACAGCTCGTTATATTGTTACCCAAGCGTAAAGGAAAAAAGGAAAAAACCTCAATTTTTATTTTTTTCAATTACAACGATTGAAAAGTCATACCCAACATCTATTCACACGCACACACGCATACACATTTACGCACACCACACTGTGGTGGTCTTTTATACATGACGTATATCGTTCTCGTCTACGCGTTAAAATATTACGTTCGTGTGCGATTGGTCAATTCACGACAATGACGATGACATTGTACGACACACGTACGTGTAACACACCATTTTCTCGTTATTGTCACCGGTGCACGGCTCGTCGGCGGTGTAGCCTGTGAAAAATGGATTCTTCATGCGAAAAACGACGTGTCGTCGGGAAAATCTCTCGTCGCGGTAACGTGTCGCGGAGAGGATACGCGTAACAACACCGTCGCATTATAATAATGCATGTGTACGGTTATTATTGTGCCACGTCGTCGTCAAACGAAACCGAAGGCCCACCCATGGCGGTCGTTCGGACGGCCGAGACGACGGTGACGACGAATTAGAGACGACGACGACGACGTTGCGATGTAGTAGGAATCGATTCGAACACGGTGTATTACACATCCACTTGATACCGAAACGACACACGTTAATAGGGTTGTCCCCCTCGGTCCGCCCGGCCGTCCGCGGACTGACGAAAAACGTATTAACCGCTGTCCTTCCTCTGTACCGTTGCTGGGCTCGTACCTATATGACGTGCGCGAGCGGTGCGAAAGTCTTCACCCGAACAAATCGTTTTCGGTCGTCGACTGGTAGGCGCATGGTTTTACCAACGACCACTATGATAAAAGGTCTATACAACGAGTGTTCGAGGATTGGTGTGTGTGCGTGTGAGTATTAAACTACTACGCGTCCATTCCTTAACGCAAACGATGAGAGTTTTCTTTCTTCCTTAGAAACACGTATGATACAAACGACTTGTTCGTAATATAGTTGAAAACGCGAAAACAAGTTGAAATATGAGTCAATATGAGTATTCGTTGTACCCGTGTGAAAATGCTTACCGTGCTAATTTTCATGTGTTACATTGGCTATACATAACACTAAATAGATATAATATGTTAAAACTTATCATTTACGATATTATGTATATCTATATTACTACAGTAATAATAACTCGCGTGTATGAATTCGTGGGCTTTCATTAGTGTCGCATAAAGCGGGGGAGGTGAAAGGGTCTCGTGGCAGAGGTCTTATACGAGTTGAAGCGCATTAAAATCACTCGTCGGGCATTGTTCGGTAACTATATGCACACTACTATAATATTATAATATTTGCTACCGCCACCGATGATGGTATCGTTAAAAATATAACGTGCGTGTAATGGACGGAACGGACCTTTTTTAGAAGACCTCCATTGTCTTTGTATAGGAAAGTTCATCGTTGAATCAATCCATCTGTCTTTTCTCCTCTCTTCCCTCTTTGATTCTATTATTTTTACATATGTCTTGAATATATATATATGTATATCATTATAATACGCGTGTGTATGTGAGTGTAAATGACTGACCGCCAAAAAAAGAAAAAATAATAATAATAGTAAAATAAACACACGGTGATCGAGCACAATTTACTTCTATGCTGTACCTATACATTTTTTTTATTAATAATCAAACGGAAGAGTAAAAAGAAGAAAAGAGTGGTAACCATTAATTGGAACCATGACTGTTAGTTTTTTCATAAGTATTTATCCAGCCACTAAGCCATCGAAATCCGTTTCTTTGTAGCTATAACTGTAGAGCTTAGTTGTCCAAAATAAACATTACGACGACAGTCTCGTTTTTGTCGTGTTTCATATTGTTTTCGACTTTTCGTTGAAACGATGCACGGAAAGAATGAAAAATCATCTAAATCGAATGCAATGTAGAATATTATAAGATGATAAAGTTTTTATGTTTCTCGAAATTATATTCGTAAAGAACATAAATTAATACATCTGTATAATCTCATTGTCGGCGGTTAAACAATGTATAGGAACTAATGTCGTTTACACTCATGATTCATGACGTTTGCCGTTATAAAATTTTTTTTTTTTTTTATATATGTGTATGCTACTCGACGTAAACGTAAGATTGTATCTTTGGGAAAAAAATTGGAATAATAATACTTTTTTATCGACACTGCGGGGACTATCGGTCCCGCGGGAGCTCTGACGTTAAAAATAATAACTATGCTGATACGACGTTTGATGCGCGTTAATTTATACACTGTGGGGAGATTTTCAAAAATCTTGTGTAGAACGCTTTGGAAACCACGACAGCGGCCGTTGGAGGGGTCGCAATACGCGTTCATCTTCGATTTTTTTTAACTCGAGACTCGGGACAGCGGTGTAAAATATTATCTCACAATAGGGTCATGCGTGACAGATGTCCGGAAAGCAAGGAGGGATGATTAATTTAGATTTTTCGTCTACCGTTTAACGGAATGTGATGAAACTTTATCGGACCTATTCCCTCTTAACATCATGTTCTACTTAAAATATCCGTCCGTACAAAGAAAACACGTTTCGCGAAAATTCCAAACGAGCTGGCGCGAAAGAAAGAAAAAACCACTATCGCCACTGTCGTCCCACAGGGCAACGGCAGGTCACCACCCCGTAAATAACAAACACGCATACACACACATGCATAAATACATGCAGGGACGTTTCCGTGGGATCGATAACTGGATATAAACGGGTTCGGCGATCGGCGACGAGAATATCGGTTTGTTCCTATAACCATTATTATTGTTATTATTAAATTCCCATGCACATTCTCGTACGGGACATCTTCACACGGGACGACTACTTAGTTGTATCGGTATCGGTCAAGGGTTCGAACTCGTTCGATCAGTTATTACGGGGCAGTGTACCTAACTATTATGCATGAGAAATCGGGCCAAAAACCGGACATGCTGTCCGCGACAGCTGCGATCACGTATCGGCTCGAAGGGCGGTTTTTGGTGGGATTTCTCGCGTATTATACAAACCGTTCGATCTAATGATGAAGGGCATATGATATATTGTACATATTTATATTGATAAACGTTCGTTTGGCTTTCTCTCTGTTTGTTATACTAATGTTTGCAATATAAATATGTTATATTGAATAATATTAAAATAATGTTGCTGTAAAAAAATAATACTAAAAGATTTTACGCCTCTTAAGTTTAGAATATTGAAACTATCATTTTGTATACAGCTGTAACCGATGGCCGTATTACTAATCCGTTTTTGCGTACGCCTGCACAAGGTTTACGCAGAGTTTTGAGAACTATCGTATACCCAGTGTTTTAGATACACTGAATACCTACTGGACGATTATATAATATTCAACGAGTCCCCCTTCATCTATTAGTTCGAATTTATTCCATAAAAAGTAAATCGCTGGTGTACGGTTTACACGTGTCGTTATACGGTGGACGAATCGATATAATACGACGAAGTCATTATCATCTGAATGAAATCGTTTGACGATTAAAAAAAAAAAACCAAAACTATTATATTATTTAAATTTCATGCGATATAATCATTTTGCCTCGAACACGTTCCAAAACCGTTTACAAAATCGTTTTAATACAAATAGTGTCGTGTAATGTGTTCATTTAAAAAGTGGTCAGATTACGATCGGGTGATTATATACGTGATATACATACGAATAACGGTTGCGGTGTGCGGGAGAAAAGATAATTATTATGAGACGTGTGTCTAACAGTCACAATGACTATTATTTCTAACAACAGGAGTTATTAATTTAATTACTATTGTTAGTATTATTAATTAGTAAAAAACTTAAGAAAATAATTTGAACATCGAAAATTTTTCGTTTCCTACATATTATTACGATGTACCTATACGCAATCGCAACGATTACAGTATATATACCTAGTTAACATTTTAATTATAATATATATTTATGTTTCCACAGCCGTGCAGAGAGGTCGAGTTCCGGCCAGCCAGCCTCTCGGGCTCACGGCAGTACCCGGTCAGTTGTGCTTGACCAACGGTGACGCAGCTGCGGCCGCGGCGGCCGCTGTGGGTGCCGTCGGCCTGAACGGCCACTCGTACCTGTCGTCTTATATATCGCTTCTGTTGCGTGCCGAACCGTACCCGACTTCCAGGTACGGCCAGTGCATGCAACCCAACAACATCATGGGCATAGACAACATATGCGAACTGGCCGCCAGGCTTTTGTTCAGCGCCGTCGAGTGGGCCCGGAACATACCCTTCTTTCCCGACTTACAGGTGAGTGTTACGCTCGATAGTGACGTCCAACCGGGTAGCATGTTAACAATTGTCTACGGGTGTTATTTTTTTGACAAAAACCGCCGTTTGGGGTTCCGTTAATTTCTATTGCAAATGCTTATACACCTGTGCTATGTCGATTTCTATTTAACAGCCTTATGTGCGCTGAAATACGACATATGATCGTAGCAATGTTGTCGCGTTACGCAGTCACTCGAATTTCACGTGTATTTCAGGTGACCGACCAGGTGGCTCTGTTAAGGCTCGTTTGGAGTGAACTTTTTGTGCTGAACGCATCCCAGTGTTCTATGCCTCTACACGTAGCCCCTCTGTTGGCCGCCGCCGGGCTGCACGCGTCACCGATGGCCGCGGACCGTGTGGTCGCCTTCATGGACCACATACGCATATTCCAGGAACAGGTGGAGAAACTCAAAGCCCTGCATGTTGACGCAGCCGAGTACAGTTGCCTGAAAGCAATCGTCCTGTTCACCACCGGTAAGACCATTGGTTTATTATCTATGCTATGTCGTTCCCGCACGAAAACCCTGTGGAGTATGTCTTAACGACTGTTGGCATATCTCCGCGATAGGTTGTTTAGAAAGTAATTTACTTTTTGTTATGCGTACATGGTCGACGTTTCGCTACGATCGGCCGTCACGTAGCCCAAAGTCGGGAGACGATACTACGCTCGACGTCTAGAAAGTCGCAAGAATCGTTTTAACAATAATGCATATTAAATATATAAATATATATATATAAACACAACCGTCTTTGTAGTCTTCATTTGGCCGCTGGGCACGCAAATCGTGGTCTATCTGTCCTAGCTTTCACTCGGGCGGCTAAACGTCATTGCGAAGACGATTTTCTGCTCGGACGACGGTATGGATATTATTTTACGCTTGTCGTATCTTCTTTTCCAACGTACGTGCACGCACGTCCTTATACGGGGCGAGTTTCGCATCGCCGACGCGTCAAAAATGAAAAACAAAACTACTTAACTCTTCCACGTTGTCTACGAACCATCGATCAGTCGGAAATTGCCAAAGGCCGCGGGCGTTTTAAATATTTCTCCACTGCAGCATTTCCCGTCTGGAAATCGCAAAACGAGTATTGAAATATCGTTGTTTCTTGGTTCCGCCGTGCATTGTTCGCTATTAATGTTAGTTAATATTATCATTACGTATCATTACGTCACGCCGATTGACGTTTATTATTGCATACGACTAATCGTATTAATGAATATCGCCGCCACCCCTCCGCCCTGTACAATACTTGCACAATCCAACCGTGTCCCGTACAACGATAATAGTACCGATAATAATAATTGATCGATCGGCCGGTGAGTATTTATCGTGCGATATAAATCTTGCGGTGTGTGTTGGTGTCGTTTTAAAAACTTCATCTCGTGCACAGATATCGTTGTAACAGTACGGCGTTCTCCCGCGAAAGGTTTTCGCGCCGACCGTCGTCGTCGCCGTAACAACGTTTTTGTCCGCGTCGGCCGACGGAGACGACGCTGCTGAAACCCGTGCCCCGCGGTCAGCCGACGTCCGCGGTGACCGCGGAAACACGGGTTTAGGCGTACGGACGGGTCACGACGGTCGCCGCTGGGCACGTCATGTACCGATAGACGTTCGTCGTGCGTGCGCGCGCGCGAAAATACGCCGTCGTTTCGTTCCTCCGCGCGATTTGTTGTACGTCCGCCCGCACTCGTCGCCGCCACCGCCGCCGCCGCCGTCATCGGTCCACGCGCGTAACGTCCTACTTTTCCACGCGCGCGCTCATCCCGGATCCGACTCGGAGATCGCAATCGCCGACGCGTCCTACATTTAATGCACAATTATAAACCGATACTGTTTCCCACGATCTACGCCTCGAATAAGGGACCGCCGCCTAACGATCGCTAATGCGCGCCGGTGTTTTTCTTATCGTTTTTGAACGTCGGAATTCGGTACCGTTGCGGTCGTGGGTCGCGCGACAGTTGATTTCTACTGCGGTTCGGAAGATCGAAATATTAGATACACGAGGGCTGGAGAGGAAATAAAATCAATTTTATTATTTCCAATAAAACTAAATGGTGTTTTCATTTTATTACTATCAACGAAGAAGATTAATATATTAAAGCAAGACGTGTTGACCGGTGGTCCAGTTTTCTGCCTCCCGCGATTCGCAAGTTGCCGACCAATGCCGCAGACGGAATTTTGCTATAAGTGTTATTGTAGTATTGCCGACGACCCACGTGGACTTAAATGACAGTTGCATTTATATACTAGTGAAAGTGCACGCGTAAATCAAAATAAAATAAAACGCTGGATGGCGGCGGCGCACGGTGTGTACGAAAAATACGTTTTTACACGCGTATTATAATATTATTAATTTAATGCGAGATCGATGCAGCGTTTTGTTTTTCAATTACTGGCGTGGACTTGCGCAGAACCAGTTGTTTGCCGCGCGCGTGTGGTATCATCGACTAATAAATAATTGCGACTCGACCGGTGCGCAGACAATACTATTCTTCCGCGCTGCGGCGGTCGTCATTAAGATACCCAAAGTCTTTTGTTCTCACCCGTAGAACGCGACCTGCACGCTGGTATAATGAGAGATCAGTTGGCCGCGATAACGAGTTCGTTTCGTTTTCACATAGATAATAATAATAATAATAATAATAATAATAATAATAATAACAATAATAATAATGATAACTACAATGAATTTCGTTTTCAAAACGGTGAGGTTACAAAGCCTATACGTTCGATTAAGGACATGGGTTCCGCGTGCCAAAATCGAAAAATCTGTACCGAAGAGTAATCGAAGTGAATCTTTCGAGACACTTTTTTTGCTCTTTGTCGTTAGATCCGTCGCGATTCTCTGCGATCAATCAATCAAAACTCATCAATCGATTTTCGTTCTGCGCGCGAGACTCGTCGAAGAATACGTCGGCGGCTGTGACGGCACGCGTGTTGCACTATCCGTGGGAAAGTACCTGTAGTAATATAATAATATACATAGGCGTTATTTTCTGATTATATATTTTTGAAATCTCGTAAACACGCGCGTCCGCAGAACGAATTTCGAAATTTACATCGCCCGTGCGCGCGTTATAAAATATTATATTATAATACTTATATTATTACATATCGTGTACCGACTATACGCGACGACGACGACGATTGATTAATGGATCGGGGTTACACGAAACGTGATCACGGGAAGCAAAAATCACGGGCACAAGACGTGTTACATATATATCTTTATGTACGTAATCCACTATCGCGAAAACCGGGCCGAAGACACCTGCAGCGGTAGCGGTCGCTGCCGTTGTGGTGCAGGCGCGCGAACACGAGTTTTACACCTTGAGTCGACCGTGTACACCATATTTTTCATATTATTTGTATACGTATTCGTATAAACGTTAAACATACGCGTATCGTAATAACGTTGTTGTACGTTCGTACCAATATCGCGTATCCTACTACTACTACTACTACTACAGTTATTCCAAGCAACGCGCGCGTTTTCTAGTTTTCAACGCTTCGGGTTAAAAACGACCGAACGGACGGCGGCGGCGGTGGTGGCAGTCGTTAGCAACAAACGCGGCGGCGTTACACGATAAATCCTTGTGACCCAGTGGCCCGTCCGACGGCAGAGGTCAGCAGCGCAGCACCACCGCACAACTGACGCGCGTGGGCGTGTGCGACGTGCGTATGTGTGTTCTGCTCCTGCGTGTTATTAACATACGCACACGTGTATTATAAACCTGAATGCGTTACAAGTGTGTGTGTGTGTGTGTGTGTGTGTGTGTGTGTGTGTGTGTGTACTTAGCGTATATGCGCGCAAGTAAACGACCAAATGCGCCGACCGTGTGTTAAATACCTACGGTGAAATATACGCGTTTACACGAGCGCGAGCGATCGGACTTCATCATTATTATTATTATATTATTATTATTATTATTCAATTAAAACAGATCCGTTTACCGAACGGTGTACGCCGGGGCACGTGCACACACATGACCCCCGAGGTGTAAATCAAACTGATTCCATACACCGGGACGCATTATTATTATTATTATTATTTATTACGCGGAGAAGTAGGAGAAACGAACGTGTTCGGTTACGGTTCAAAGGTTTTCCAAATATTTGAGACGTTTCGTTTTAAAGCTTTTCGTTCATCAAAAGTAGTTGATCGCGTCGATGTACCACTCGGTAAACGTGTACGGATCGTGCGATGGCAAAGGTAACAACAATTTCATATGAACAGTCCATGCGACCCGAAAACACGTAACGAAATACTGTTTTATTTTATTTTTTATTTTTTACAGTTTATAACAATTATTTACTGTAACGAGTTAAGACCGTAACTGCGTGTTATAAAAAGTAGTTTTTTTTTTTTTAAAATTAAAATTTAATGAACACTGTGCGCGCACGTGCTGGAAAGTAGAGTAGATACTTCACAAATGAGATGTAATAGATATTATTATTGTATATATTATTTTATACCTTTAAATCTACCTAGAAGTAATGTGGTAACACGTTAAGAAGTCCACATTTTAATTTCGACCGTATTACTCGGTTTAAAAGTTTGCATTATCTTAGCCATTTTGCCGCTTAAATATTATATATTCCTCAAAACCAATAATACGATTATAAGACAAGTACCATATACATTATTATAATCATTCAAATTTAATATATCTGCCCGAAAATTACAAAAGGACTAATTATAGTTGACAAGTTTTTAACTTTACCCAAAAGGATATGTAAGTCGTACGAAATTTGTTGAAAAGTTAACTTTTATATATTAGTTATTTGTCTAAGGAGCTATTATGATCAGTCAAGTGTGATCAAGTGCGGCTATTATCCTGTCAGATTATTTACGCTTAGGTCGCGTTCAAATCCAACCGATTTACAAGAAAATGAGTTAATATTGATTTTTTTTTCTAATTGGTAGTTCGGCGTCAGTGTATATACTTATATACGAAAGACGCGATAGGTAAAAAAAAAACGGAATCCTTTCACCGAGACCGTGTGCCACGCTCATTAAATACTTATTATTATACGGTTTGTGATCGAAACACTATTCTCTCTTTTACTCTTATTATTTATCCAGCGTCTCTCTTCGAATCGTTCTCTTTCCGCTCGGTAGTAGTCATCAGTTGCAGCAAAATTACACTAACTCGCGTATTATACACACGTGTATGCGTGTACTTTAATGCGATACGTGCGGCGAGCAAGTGTGCGGAAAGTGACTTAACGACCTGGCGCATCGAGGCTAATTGAAACAACACTTATCTGACCGCAAAAGAAAATTAAAATAAGAAGAAAAAAAAACAATACCGCTAATGCACGTTTCCGTAAATGTCAAACGAGCATTTAACAACACGTTACGTTAACGTCGATTGGACTTTTCTCTACGTGCGCCACCTGCGCAGAGTCGCGCGCGGTCCACTTGCGCGCGCACAGTCGGTACTGTGTTTAAACGCCGCGGCAAAAGGC